GTTCACAACTGATACCTTCTTGAGGTGGGCGCGGTGGACCGGGAGCGAGTATGTGGTCTAACAAGCCATTCTTCTGTCTCGTTCAGGTGCTTGTTCTTGGATCCGCCGGCTTAACACATTGACGGGAACGTGTGCCTTCCGGAATAAATCCGCAGCTCGAACCAACCGATTTTGGCAATTGGCAAGCTTTATCAGTATTCAGCGTCATCAGAGGAGCCACATCGTGATACTGCCAGCAGTGCGATATCCGTGCTTCTTGACACCCGTGCGCAGACGCAGTCGGCACCCCATGTGACTGCCGCAGAGCACCTTATAAGGCAGCACCGACACTACTCTTTCAGTGGGCGCGGTGGACCAGGAGCGAGTATGTGGTCTAACAAGCCATTCTTCTGTCTCGTTCAGGTTGGTGATTACTTCAGCTCAATTAAGAGCGATCATCGTGGTCTTTTGGTCCTACGGTGCCCACAACGCTTATTTAGCAGTGCAAATGATGTCTTTTGTGTGTGTGTCACAGAACGAGCGCTCAAAAAGGGCGCGCCGCCAAATTCTCGCGCTGAAACGCCGGAGTGGCGCCGCGAGGACAGCGATAAAAAAAAAGAAAACAAACAGCTAAAGACTCCCCGGGCGCGCGACCCCCCCCCCCCTCTCGGAAGCGTAGGCTCGCCGACGAACCTCCTCGCCCCACCACGGCAGCCGAGCAAGCACTCGAATTTTCTAGATGGAAAGGGGCGTGGTTTATGCCGGGTTGAGTCATCTGTTGCGGACAGCATTCCAACCGTCTCGGCCTTTCCCCTGCCTTCGCTGCGTATCGCGCCGACGAAATGACGAGAACTTTCTGGAATCTCGCGCGGAGGGTATTTAATCGAGCAGCCGAGGTGAGGGATCAGGAGAAGACGGAAGTTAGCGCCAGAGCGCGTAGAGATTCCGCCGGGTAGTCGGTGAAGGTTTTGTCCGTGGAGACAAAGCAGGAGAAGAGGATTTCCACCTGAGGGGTGACGACTCGAGCTACAGGCAAGAGTGTGTGTTTCCCGCTATCGAGCGAAGACGCGTGGCAACGGCTGCGTGTGTGAAGCCGACGTGTTTCCGGCGAAGAAGTTTGAAGCTTGGAGAGTGGCCTATTGAAGACGTGAGGTTTCCTGGAAGAGAAACTTCGGCGAGGTTTCCTGGAAGAGAAACTTCGAGGGCAGCGGAACGACAACAACGCTGGACTTTGAGTGAGTGATTCTCGGAAGAGTATCATCCAGACTTTTGTTCCAAGAACTTTGGACTGAATAGGTTTTGGTTGTTCAATGCATGCGACTGCATTGTAGTGCGTATTGTTGTCTGTGTCCGTTGTTTCGAGTGTGGCTGATTGTACTGTGTAGTACGTTGTTTGTTTGGTGATATATTGTACTCATTTATCGTGGAGAGTGCATACTTCTGTGTTGTTTTGATCTGCAAATATTGAGAATATAATTTCGTTTGTTTATCAACTCTCGGCTCTGTCTTGTTCTTTGGGCCATAGCCGGCGTCCGCTGGCGCGCCAAATAGGACCACTTCTAAATTGTCCACGCTTTCGTGGTGCGGTTCGGGGGGCCGATACCTCGGCCCTTGGAATTAGCCCGGCGATCGCCTCCCTAATTAACGGGACCAGTGTGACAGTGTGCTTGCTTTTGATTTGTGGTGACGTGGAGTCAAATCCCGGTCCTTCAACTGAGGCCTTGCTAAGTGAATTGTTAGCTGGTCAAAATAAGTTAGCTGATGAAGTGGCAGCCATTAGAGCTCAGCAGAATAATATGGAAAAGCTCATGGCTGACTGGGTCGCTTGTTTTTCGGAATTAGAAAAGCGAGTGGCACGTATTGATATTCTAGAAAATACAGTCAAGTCCTTGGAGGCGAAGTTGACTGATATAGAAGACAAATCTAGGCGTTCTAATTTGGTGGTTTTCGGCATACCGGAAGAAGCACAAGAGACCGATATGTTAAAATCTAAAATCTTAGACGATGTATTTTCGAATAAACTTGACGTTCAGTGTAAATCAATCGGCAGAATTCACCGTCTTGGTAGACCCGGTAAAAAACGTCCTGTAATCATTTATTTTCAAGACTATAACGAAAAACAACGAATTCTAAAGAATGCCTACAAACTCAAAGGGACTGTCATATCTTTGCAAAATGATTACTCGCACACCACATTAAGAAAGCGCAAGCTCCTGTGGGACAGTGCAAAATTGGAAAAACAGCAGGGAAAAAAAGTCAGTCTAAAGGATGACAAGCTACGTGTCAATGATGACACATTTATCTGGGACGACATCCAAAACGCAAGAATTATGATTCGGACCCACGGATCTTCTAAACAGAACTGACTTGCCCATGAGGTCTGCAAGGAACTACGACTACTTAATATCAACGCGCGCAGTATTGTAAATAAAAGTGACCAACTCGAGGCAATTATTTTAGGATACGCCCCTCACATAGTGGTGATAACCGAGACACGGTTACATGATGATATTGACGATATGGTTGTTTTCCCCCCTTCTTATCGGGCTTCCTTGATTTTAGTCTCAACAGTTTTCATGGTGACGATGTTATCAGTCTTTAAAAAAAGTTTATAAACATGTGCATGTACTGTATTAATAATTTTATTCCTGAAAAAACAAAGAAAATAGCAAAGAAAAATCCCTGGATGACGCGTGAAGCGCTGCAACTAAAAAGAAAGATTAAACGCTTAAGACGACAAGGCGCTTCTCGTGATACTATTCTAAATATTCAACCTAAATTAAATGAAATAGTGAAAAACGCAAAAGAAAGGTACTTCCAGCATACGCTGCCAGGTTTTATGCGAAATGCCCCGGAAAAGTTTTGGAGGTACTTAAAAAGAAAAAACAAGGTCAGTTGACCAAATTGTACACGAGGGATCTCTAGTCGTCAAAAGCAAAGCATTGCTGATCATTTCAACAAATTTTTTCACAGTGTTTTTTCCCGTTCTTATGATCTGCCGTTAATAAAACATATGCCTCACATTGTACCACCCGATATGATATCGCAACCAGTGGTAGTTTCTATGTTGCTCAATCTGAAAACTAAGTCATCACCTGGTCCGGATGCCTTACCAAATGCTTTTCTGCGCAGATATGCAGAAAAGTTGTCCCATTTTCTAGTTGTCATTTTTCATGCATCGTTATCTTCTGCAGTTCTTCCTAGCGATTGGTTGAGGGCACGTGTCGTACCTGTGCCTAAGAAAGGAGATGCAACACTTTTAACTAACTATCGTCCGATTTCACTAACATCCTCTTCGTGCAAGCTGCTTGAACATATCATAGCAAACAAGATTAACAAATTCCTTTCTGATAGAAATATTCTAACTACCAGCATGGCTTTCGTAAAGGCTTTTCTACGGTTACCCAACTGACTTCTATCGTTCATAATTTTGCATCTGTCCTGGACAAATCTGGACAAATTGATGTTTTTTTAGATTTTAGGAAAGCGTTTGACCTTGTTTCGCACTGTAACCTTATAGAAAAACTCGAAATGATTAACTTGCCAGCATATTTAATTAATTGGATTTCTGCCTACCTGACTAACCGTAAGCAATTTGTTGTTATCGATGATAATTTTTCGGGTGAACTTCCGGTAACTTCGGGAGTCCCACAGGGCAGCATTTTAGGACCTTTGTTATTTTTAATTTACATTAATGACATCACTGACACAATTACAGAGCCCATTCAAATCAGATTGTTCGCCGATGATTGTGTGATATTCAATGAAATAACTTGCAGTGACGACCAAGCTGCACTCAATTCTAACCTTCAAAATATCGTATCCTGGTGTGGAAAATGGGAATATGGAATTAAATGCAGAAAAGTCTGTCTATATGAAAATCACCAAAAAGGTTAAAAAGTTATCCTTTTCATATAATATCGCTTCCAAAGCCCTAATTGAAGTTAATCAATATAAGTACTTAAGTGTTACTATTACTAACAATTTATCCTGGAATATGCATATCTCTAACATCTGCAAGTCGTCTTTCCATAAGCTCTGCTTTTTGAGGCATAAATTAAAACAGGCTCCCCACAACACTCGTCTAACAGCTTATTACTCGCTAATCCCTCCAAAATTAGAATATGCATGTACTGTGTGGGACCCTTACACCAAACGTAACACTGACGCATTAGAAATGATACAACGCAAAGCAATAAGATTTTATGCTTTGTATATGCCTTGTGTATGCCTTTTCGTTCTTGCCTTGTGTATGCTTTGCATATGCTTAGTTTATATGCCAACTTTTGTATTGTTTCTTTTCCCGTTCCATACTTACAATGTTGTTTCCCTCTGGTTATTATAATTTGTACTTCCCATGCCCCTTTTGCTTGGGCCCTTACCTGGGCCTGCAGTATGTCATAAATAAATATAGTCGCGTCTGACAGTATCAACAGCTTCAGAGAGGTCCAGAGTGAGGACACTATTTACATCTTTGCTTGAGTTATCTGTGTTTTGAGCAGGAAAATGACATCTTGCGTAGAAACCAAGGACCCCAAACCTAACATATTAGTACATGGGAATAGGTCATTCCGCTAGATGTAGCACGATATCCTGTTGTTGTGCTCTGTATGTTCTGCTTCTTTGCTAAGGCAAGAAGCAGGAGATACCGCGTGGAGGTGATCCAAGATAATGAGGGAGAGCAGGCAGAACGTGCAACAGCTCTCATTTCGCTCTTCCTCGCCTGGGTACACAAGTTGTACCTTCAATAACTTTGTTTATTCAATGCATATGCACCCATGAAGCGCCATGCTACATGTAACGATGATTTGAAATATGTTTCTTGCTTCAAGGTCCTCCCTTCACTGGCATATGGAGAATTTGCGACACACATTAAAGTATGCATTAACATCTCAATTCAGATAATTTATCTGCGGAATCATTTAAATGTTGCCATTTAAAGCTCAAAAATGAAAAGAATTTATATTTTGACCAGCAGTTTCATAATTAAGGCATTACAGTGTTAATATATGCAAACTGACCTGGTCCGCCTGCCGCCGCTGCGGGGGATCCTCGACGTGCGGTGCAGGTTCGAGCGCTGGCGGGGCCGTGGCCTGGGCCTCCTTGTCGAGCGGAATGCCAGCAGCATCGGCGAGTAGACTAAGTGGTGGGCCAGGAGCAGGGCGCTGCCCAACGCTGAGGTCTGCGAGGATGCTGCGGCCATCGCCACCGCGGCTGCGGTCTGGGAAGAGTCGTGCACGAAGTACTGGTCGTAGTCTTCGAAGGAGCGCACATTGTGCACGATGCTCTTGAAGCGCTGCTTGCACAGCGGACACTCAGCCTTTACCTGCAACAAAAAGGGAAACAAGGCGCATTTGAGCAGATAGAGTAACAAAGGGGCACGCCTGTGGGCCTGGCGAGGGCACCGGATATCTATCGCATGTGGCGTTGCTATGGCAACTGATGTGGTCATGTCATGAACTAAAGCTAGAAGCATACAAACTCGACGTACTACGAGTCTGTACGCTTCCAGCTTTTGTTCCTAATGGTTCCTAACATGCCATGACCGCACTTGCCAACTAGGAAATTCACATTTCCCGCGACGTGTTGCTGGCTACGGCAAAACATTTTTGTCTTGAAGTTGCGCTGTCCCGCCAGTAGATAGATATCCGCTGCGGTCAGCGGACCGACAGGTGCGCGGAGTTGTTACTTTATCTGGTCGATGGCATTTTGCCAGTGCCTTGGCCTAATCAACAACTATCTTACACCCCGATTTAGAGTTAGGGTCTGCCCGCATGGATTGATTGATGACCCGAACTAGTACAGGTGGCCAAAATGGCCTCCATTTCTTGCTCAAATTAGGGCAACTGAGAAAATTTTGAGGCTGGTCGGGCATTTTGGCACAGTGTGGCCCGATTTCGGCAAATTTCATGATTTTGGCGCAGCTTGGCCCACAAATGAGGAATTGTATCAAATTGACACAGCTGTTGCACCCCTGCATTAAAAGAAGAATGTTTTTTTTTTCTGTTACACTCATACCTCTATATTACGAACACAAACAAAATGAATTATCAGTTCTAACAAAGTAAATGAAAAATAGTCTTGCAATAGATACAGTGTCAGAAATAACCTTTATAACGTATTTTTGGATATAGCAAAGTTATTTTCTTGTAAAATGCAATTTCGATAATTAGACTCAAGTGCAATTAAATAAATTTTTCACAACTCAAATATTCCCACGCTTGACCGGAGAATATTCTTGGTAAGCTCGAAAACGCACACAAAAGGAACATCAGGATAAATGCGCAACCTTGAAATTACTGCCTCAAACGCCATGGTGTCACATTCTGACAGAATCCACTAGGCCTTATGTAGTCATTAATCGATAAGATTAAAGGGACACTGACAAGCGATTTTTTTCAACCCTTTTTTTTTTTTCAGGCACAACAAAAAGCTTACCATTCGTAGGTTTGTGTCTGCAGTAGAATCTCAAAAGCACGCAGTTATTTTACAAGCAGTATTTTTCCGTCTGAAGGGCTCTGAACACAGATGTCCCTTTTTGTCCAGCAACGCTGTGTACTTTTAAAGCAACGCCAGTGGCCCTTCTAGCGACTTGTGCAAGCTGTCGTTCTGCTTTTGCAGCAGTTCCTGTAACTATGCTTAACCAGGTTTATTCTGAGCTTTGCAGCCACTTTTTAAAATAACAAGCCATTACAATTAGATGATGTGGCTTTAAATAGCTTCCCTGTATTTGTACCGCATTCTGTGTGCCTGCGCCGAAGGTTGATGCGACTGTGTCGTGGATCGCTTGTCCCGTTGTCAATACTCTCTCGAGGCATGAGCCTATGCGAAGTCACAGAAAACCTCACTGCGAGTTGCGCGGCCATGTCAAGTAGCAGTCGAGTTGAACCTCTTTATAAGAGACGTGGATATTGGCCGCGAGATCGAGCAACCTCACCGCCTGACGTACAATTGGCTGAAGCGCGCAAGTGTTGATTGCTCCGTGCGTCATCTGCTAGGCAAGTCTCGTTTCTAGGTGCATGTACAGTCATGCATGTTCTCAAAGGGTGGTTTGTCCTGTCATTTCAGTGCGAGCGTCACTGCTTGTATGTATGCCTGAAAAGACATACAAAAGAATTTGATCTTGCTTGGCTAATAAAGCATTGTAATAATATCCCCAAGTGCAACTTCCGAGAACGCTGTTACAGATATAGATATACAGATATAGTAATAAACATAGGCAAAAAAAGAGATACAAGATCGAGGAAAATTAAAAAAAAAAGAGCAAGAAAGCAGGCCGCCCAACTCGCAGTTTCTTGAGGCTTAGCACCAGTAACTCAAAGGCGCCATTGTTTTTTGTTTGTTTTTTATGATGACGGTCTTTCTTGGGATACTTCAACGTAAAAAAGTTTGGTCTGTATGTGTCTGTCGTGCGATTCAGCCACCCCGCGAAAGTTTAAGCCCTTGCTCAACGCCCAGAATTCTGATCTGGTGGCTGCATTCATACTTGTGAGCACTGTCGCTCAAAAACCAAATATTACGCATACCTGAGGTGCAGCATCAATACATCAGTATTAGGCGGTGTGTTTCTATAATAGAAAATTCATCTGTAAAAAATTCCAAAAATAGTATCTTTTCTTACAACTGCGCCGACAATGGGACGCTACGAATGAGAAAGTGAGTGTTTCCTACATTTCGCTGAGACGACATGGTGCTGCAACCTACCACCAGTGGCTACGCATTCTACACAAGCTTCCGTTTCTTGGCATTACTGCCAGACAGCGTGCATAACTCGCACAGCGCCTCCAGACAGAAGCTTGTGGTCTTTCAACGACATTTGAAGTGAACAACACACATACACGGCCAATTTTTTCTATGTCTAACCACGCCAAACAAACCTTTCGAACAAGCTTAATAACAATAATTATTTTCTGTCATACTGACTCCTCAGCAAACATTTGACTGACCTTTGACCACTCCAGGAGGCATGAAAAGCAGAACGTGTGGAAGCAGCTGTCTGTGAACGACTTGTTCTCAGGTGGGCCCAGGCAGATGGCACAGCTCTGCTCGGGTGATGTCGGCCGCTCCGGCGACTTGGTCAATGGCGGTTGGGAAGGTGGAGCATCACTGTTCCCTTTCGCAGCTTCGGGCTTGACGGTGGGCGCATCACTGGCTGCCGCACCAGCAGCGCTGGTGCGAGCAGACGGCATTGCCACCTCTCTGGAAGCCATGGGAACTCACTTCACCTCTGCACTGAGACAACAAAAAAGGCAGGCGTTCACAATTGGTATTAAAATGAAAGCTGTTACGAGGGAAGAAGAACCAGATTTTAATAATGCAGTTATCTACCAGCACCGGCACACAGTGAGAAAAAATCCAGATTGAACGGGATTAGCACTTTCGCAAGGCAGATGAGTATTCTACCGCAGAGCCACACTGATGCTTGAAACTCCACTGCAACAGAGACCATACACAGGTGTCATCTTGGGCAAGGAATCATGTTAAAAGACGTAATACTGCATGGTAGAAGGGTGAACCAACACCAGTCGTCGCACAACGTGTACCAAGTGGTGGTTTAGAGCTTCCTGTGCATTGCAAAAAGGTCCTGCCATATTTATTTATCGTCAACAGCCACATTATCAACAAAGCACCAATAATGCCCCCCAGAAGAGTGTGGTGTGTACCTAGCCTCTCCGCAAAATCATGAGTAATGACATAGCGAGTACTGACCCACTTCGCAAAATTGTTTTATGGTGTAGTAGGCACTTTGCAGCTGTAGTTACCTCCAGAGTTTTCAACAGACGCTGAAAGGACCATTCCCCTAGCTTCCACTTCGACTGCAATGCATGTTTTATAAAGGCCGGCCATTCTTACAAACACTGCCTAAAAAATGTGGCAGATCCCACGTACAGTGGGAATCGATGATATGCGAAGCATGAATGAGAAATGTTGATATGCCGCTTTAAAATCAGCACAACGTAACGAGGTGGAGGTAAATGATGCCGTACATGACTTCCGTGTCATGATTATCATGTTTGGATGTGTCGTTTACCTTCATCTTCTATTCACGTCACGTGATACTAAATTTAGTATATGTGGAGCTAGCGAAACGGCCGTGAGCACGCTACGAGCATGGTATGTTGTCATGTTCTTACATGACATGTGTGTCAGGATTATCATGTTTGCACCAGTCCTATATTTCGTCATTCATTGACATCACGTAACACCAAGTTTGGTATATGTGGAGCTAGAAAAACGGCCGCAAGCGCATCATGAAGTACACAATATACTCCAATGTAGCATTGACACGTGCGCATGCAGGGCACTGCGATGCTACGTTAGCATAATGCGAGCACTCTATAGTCTGATGCCAGGTGCGGCGCGAAATGCGACATGCTGCATTTCGCGCCGACGCCGTAGAGTAACATTAATCTATGCTGATGCGTTACCCAGACAACACTGCGTCTTCCTCTTGTCGTGACGGAGGGACGCCACACGCGCTGAAACGCGCATGCGTCAAAACAATGCAGCGCGACACGCGCCTGCAAGTATATGGCAGGACCGGCGCATGGCGTAACGCGACAAAATGAACACAGGCGAGCACGCGCACCGCGTTAGGTCAAAATGTATTGGAGTCTTGACTGTGGCATGTAGACATGTTCTCACATGACATGCACCTCATGATTATCATGTTTGCACCAGTCTCATACCTTCGTCATCCATTGGCATCACGTAATACCAATTTTGGCATGTGTGAAGCTAGCAAAACGGCCGAGAGCGCATAGTGAGTGTGGCATGGAGTCATGTTGTTACATGACACACATGTTGTGATTATCATGTTTGCATGTGTCATTTAGCTATGTCATCCGTTCGCGTCGCGCAATACCGAGTTTGGTACATGTGAAGCTAGCGAGATGGCCGCGAGTGCATCATGAGCGTAGCATGTAGTCATGTTACATGACACGCATCTCATGTTTATCATGTTTGCACCAATACCATATCTTCGTCATTCATTCATGTCCCATTAAACCAAATTTGGCAGAAGTGAAGCTAGCAAAACGGTCGCCAGTGCATCATGAGCGTGGCATGTAGTCATGTTGTTAAATGACAGGCATCTCATTATTATCATGTTTGCCCCAGTCACATACAATTTGTCATCCATTCATGTACCGTAATACCAAATTTGGTATATGTGACGCAAGGGAAACGGCCGCAAGCGCATCCAGAGCGTGGCATATAGTCAGGTTACATGACATGCACGTCATGATTTTTATGTTACGGTCTGTCGCTTTTGTTCGCCATGTAATTATGTCATACCATACCAGTTTTGGAACATGCCATGTGAACAAAATAACCGCAAGAGCTGCAGGACCATGAAATGTATATCATGACATTCATGTCATGATTTTCATGGTATGACTAATCAAATATGTTCTTCATACAGTCATGTTATGCCATACCAAGTTTGGTATTGATACCATTATCGAAACGGCCAGGAGAGCTAAAAGTCTTAAGCGGCTAGATAGATAGATACGCTCAAAGTCGCCGAAGTTCGCTAAGAAATGCTTCCCATTTAAAAGTGCCTATGACGCTTTTACAGATGCCTGCGACGGCTCTACGATTCCCTACGACGGTTCCGAAGATGCCTATGAAGGCTCTACAGCACAGTCGCAGCTACGCGTTTCCGACAACTGGTCAGACGGCCGCTTAGAAGTAGATTGATTTGTGGTATTTAACGTCCCAAAACCACCATACAATTATGAGAGGCGCCGTAGGGGGGGACTCCGGAAATGTCGACCTCCTGGGATTCTTTACCCATGCACCCAAATTTGACCACACGGGCCTACAGCATTTTCGCCTCCACCGAAAATGCAGCCGCCGCAGCTGGGATTCGATCCCGCAACCTGCGGTTCAGCAGCCGAGTACCTTAGCCACTAGACCACCACGGCGGTTCAAGGCACTGATATACATATATATATATATATATATATATAATATATTTATTTATTTATTTATTTATTTTTTACCTAAGTCTTCGTAATCTCTAGGAAAATTCCTTTAACACACTTTCTGAGGGCGACTGTAGTGTTACAATGGTGTTGAATTTCGGTCAGTTATTTTTTTATGACAGCCCCTGAATTTTCATTTTCTTGAGATATAGAAACTATCGATCAAAATGCCACTAGACCACCGCGGCCGCTTAGAAGTTGCGTCGGCTCGCTGTCTGACGTACTGTCCGACAAACGACCGCGCGAATAACCCAAGTTCGTTATAAAAACGACTACACTTACCCAACCAATCGTCACGTCTGCAGAACTTGGATGCACCGCCAACGATTCCGTGTCTCCCACCCGCATAATAGTATTCCCCTCGTTTCGGATTCGAAAAGAAAGATCAAGGTTGAATTGGAATTCAAAGAGAAAGACGACACATCAATAAAAAAAAAAGAAACGAAACAAAGATCTCTTTATTCGGAGAGCCCTCCGCAGCGTTAACACGCGAACTGGCCACATGTGACAGTCCGAGAGGATAGCGACAAGACCTGGCAGAAGTACAACGCACCGTTGTTTGATAGCCCCTGCACGGCTTCCATCAACCGCCCTGATAAAAGAACAGACGTGACCTGCCGTCCGTGAAAATGCCACGGGAATGTCGACCGCTCTTGAGGCCCCAAGAGCTGAATGACACAAAGCGACGTAGTTTACGCGGTTGGAGCGTTCGCAGTGTCGGTGTTGGACAAATTAAACTACAGCTTGTGGTTACACGGGGCTGCGCTTCGTACAAAACACGGACTTCACATACGCAAAACGGCAAGACAACATTGCTTTCGTAATTCGTCACATCTGCTTTCGTAATTAGAACTAGCTTGCGTACCGTAGCATTCTAGTTTCCACAGTTCGTTAGAGAACGGAGCGGATCGAATACCGCGAACTGCTTTGGTGAAGCTGTTACGAGGGTCACAGCGTGACCTCTCCATGACAGGGCTTCGGTAGGCACCAAAACTTTCCGCTGCTGTTACGCCTTCGCGTGATCTCGTGTTCGCGTCAAAAGGGCTGCGTCGGGCCCTTTCAGGCTCCTACAACAGTCCTAAAGAGAGACTTGTCACCTACCCAGAGGCGGTATCGTAGAAAATGAGCGAACGCACGAACTCGCTAGGCCTTCGGCTATTAAATAACGACCACTTTTCCTCTGCGAGGCAACGCTGTCAGGCGTCGTTCTTCTTTTTACAATGCCACGTCGCTTCGACACACGTTTTGACGTATAGGTGTCACGAAACGGGAAGCGAAGTGACTCACCTCACGTCAGACGACTTGGATTCTGAGGTGTAATGTCAATTTTTTTTGTGTTAATTGGACGAAGACGTAGAGCCCACACACTCAGAACCGACCATCATTCCTACCTCATTCCTACCACAGAAGCAGCGCTTGTTCCGTCTGCGCATGGGCAGCATGGGCGCTCGCAGCGCCGTGGCGGCGTGCGGAGAAAGCGCTTTCTTGCGAAAATCGTGAGACATTCAGCGCTTCAGAGAAAGAATGAAAGATGACGTGAACGCAGTAATCTTTTTTTTTCTCCTCTAAATTTTCATTCTCTTCCGAGTCTTTGGGAATGCACCACTCGCTGGAAATGCAAATGGCCCACGCAGCTTTCTACCATAATTTACAGCCTTTCAATAAGCCTATAGCCATAGAGTTTATATTGGGAGAAACTGAGTGCCTATAGTACACTCTACCTGTAGAACTTGTAGCCAGTAGAGTTTCCTAATATTAATATTAGCAAACTCTATGCTTGTAGCAATTTGTACGTTTGCAACGCGTTCGTACGAAATTACGCTAAAGGCCCCGATGCAGACTGGCCTGTCGTAGACGAACCGAAACCGACTGTGGTGTGAAACGAACGAGCGGTCTACTTGGCGTTGTGATACATGTGTGCCTATGATGTTTGTGTGCGTGCAGTGTTGCGCAGCCGGCCTTTCTAATAATCTGACGGTTACTCCTATCGATGTTGGACTTTATTTCGTGGTTATGTCCGAGTCACACGTATCGGTGTCCAAGTGGTCAGTGCGCTAATCGACGCTACTCTCCGTCTCGTTGGGAAGATACGCAAGCCGACGGGGCCCGGGCTTGTGCGATTTCGCCAGCGGGCTCGGGTCCCGTGGTGTGCGCGCGACTTGGCTGTTTATTAGGCAGCGCGATAACACCTAGCAACATGCGCAGCAAGTGCGAAACATTGCTCGTCCGGCATTTGCCTTCCTCGCTGAGTGAGGCCGAAAAGACCGACTTGCTGAAGCACTTCGGCGCCGACAGTGTGCGATGCATGCGGTCGACGGGCAAGCTGAAGAACGCCGCGTTCGCGACGTTCCCCACTCAGGACGCCGCGGACTGCGCCCTCGAACGCCTCCACCAGTGCGAACTCATGGGAAGTCGCCTGGTCGTGGAGTACGCGCTCGGCAAGCAAGCGGACCGCTACTTTCCGAGCAAGAGCGAGCAGTTCCCGGAGTCCGCGAATGCCGCGGCAGAAAGCGCCGAAGATCAAGCGGTGGCGGCGTCAAAAGACGAGTACAAGTCCAAGATGGAGGCGTTCGCCGTCAAACTGCACGCGATGTCCGCGGACCTGGGTCTCGACTACGTGCTCAACCCGATGCTAACGTACGCCTATCCGCCAGCGTCTCCCACCATCGTGGCGAACATAGCGGCCATGTTGATGTCGGTTCCCAAGTTCTACACCCAGGTGCTGCACTTGATGAACAAGATGAACCTGCCAGCGCCGTTCGGACCTCCGATGCCACATCCACCCACGATGCAACAGGCCTTCGGTGTCGTAGCGGTCCAAGACCAGTCTACAACCTCAGCTGAACTGGTAACGTCAGCAGAAGTGGCAGTCAACAATCAGGAGTCGAGCCCAGAGGAATCAGAAATGGAAAGTGACGAAGAGGACGTCTCTCAAAGAGTCCAGCAACCGCAGGCCATGATTCCGAGGAAACGCAAACCCAAGACACAGCTCAGGAGGCCCAAGCTACAAAAGCTTCTGCCGCCCCAGCCGGTTCAGGAGCACAGGCCCAAAATGTCGGACGTATTCGAGCCAGTCGTCGAAGACAAGACGCCGAAAGCCATAGCCATCAACATTCGACACGAAGTCGACACTGAGGTGCAGGAGAAAGAGACGGAAGAAGTCGTAGAGCAAGGTGGCTTTGGCATCCTACCCGCCGCGCCCAAGCCGGTGGAAACAGCGGAGACAAATGCCAGCGATGACAACTATGACTGGAGCGGCACGCAGTTCCTGCAAAGAGAGGAAGTCCGGTCGGGGCGCATCTCCAGCGACGAGATGAGCAGAGCGTCGGTGTTCAAGAACTACGAAGCGGGAGACGTGGCGTCCAGGCTGTACATAAAAAACGTGGCTAAGTCTGCGACTGTCGAAGACCTGTTCCGAATCTACGGAGGCTACATCGACGTCGACTCCGAGGAACAGCGTAACGCTTTCGACATAAGGCTAATGAAGGAGGGCCGCATGAAGGGACAGGCATTCTTGACGCTTGCTAGTGAATCCCAGGCAGACAGAGCCCGTCGAGACTCCAATGGTTACCTCCTCAAGGGAAAGCCGCTTGTTGTACAGTTTGCAAGGTCTGCCAAAGCGAAGAAGCTGGCCACATATTGATTTTGTCTACCTCAACGTTCTACCTCCGGAAATCTGTTCGTGTGGGCACATGTAAATAAGCGTTCATGATGCAATGTATAAACTCAAAATTTCTGCAAAACACAGTTGTGTCCTCTGTGGAAGTGTGAATACTGCATCAGGTCTGTGTCAGCTATAAGCAAAGTATGCCACTAGTAGTATCTGCAGGGACAATAAAAAGAAACAATGAATTATTTTAGATTAATAAATCGTACTTTGACAACTCTAATGTCGTTAATTTTACCATCATAAGTTTAGTAGTTGAGAGAAAAGTCAAGTTCAAAGCTTCATTTTAAAATTTTGTGCCACAATGTCCATGCGTAACGCAAAGGATTACAAAGTGTATATATCGTAATTTGGTGTCATTGGCTGCACAGAATTCATTGAAGCTTGGTATGTCAAGTCTATCGCCGCCTCGGAGGACACTGCACTCTGTTTTTACCAGTTATGAACTATGAAGGCCTCTGTAGGCACTGTCAAAATATGTGGTGTCACAGCGAATGGTGTGGAAGCTTTCAGGTGGCATCACCATCAACCTTTTCCTTTTGCCCGCTTTCTCGCTTGCCACCACCTTCTCACCACAAGCGTGGTGTTTTGGGTATCGTGAAAGAGCCATTTTACTAGTATGATAAAAAATGGTTTTGCTCTTTAGCGTCCTTTTAAAGGTGTACCCACCTTCATTGTGAAAGTATTTTTGTGTTTTGAAGTAATTTTTGGCAATAAAAACACTACTGCACTTATGAAATTCTGTTGATAACACAGCTAATGCCTTTCAAAAGTTGGAATGATTATGTCAGTGGCCCAGATTTTAAAAATGCAAACATGATAAAAAGTATGATATCGAAAAATTGGTCCTCCTGCTTTTTCGCATGGGCACTTACGAGCCTTCGGTATATGCCTCTCTCTGCCTTTTCCATTGCTTTGTCCCACCACCACTGTGCAGTGCCAGTCCCCAGTGTTATTCAAAATGTTCTCCCAGCAAGACCTTTAAGAAATTTATATCTTCCAAGTTGTCACAATCAGCAAGGAAACAAATCCAGGAAAAGGAGTCGTAGAACTGGGGTCATTACATGGACAGGTACTGTACACAATGGACTTTGATGAAGAAAGGAAGAAAATTTATATAATGCTAGGCTGAAGGATATATACGCAATGAAGCCTAATTAGATAGACCTGACTCAGATCACTTGCTGCAAGATGCCAATTGAAGTCTTTGTTAGTATGCATTTTTTTTTCTTGTAAGTCTCAACTTAATTTCACAAGGTTGCTCTGTATGAGAAGCATTTTTCTTTTGAAAACATTTACTAAAGTTGCATTGCTATGAACGCTGTGGGCGCGAAGTAATACCAGAAGACTCACCTTTGAAAAAGACTAGTATTGCATAGGGGTGTGCGAGCTGTGAATTTTAGAATCATATCAAATACGAAACAAATTACGATGACCGAATTGAATTCTATTCAAATAATTTTCTAATACTAAGGCAACAATTTTTGAATTAGTCCTATACTGGTAAGATGATAATTTTCAAAACATCGCGAGAACTCCTCGTAATTTTATTTGACACAAATATGCACAAGCTTTATTAATGGCACATTACCATTACTATTAATTGACAAAGTTACTACAATTATTCAAAGTGAGTAGCAACTAGAGCTTTTGCAATATTTTCTAACTGCTGGCTGAAATATAACAGTGAGAACAATATTCAAGGTGGTCATTTGTCAACAGCTTTTAAATGCAACTAATATTTAAATGGCAAGCAATTTTCATGAGTTAACTTAAAATTACCATGAATTCGGTAGCAAAAATAGTTGATTGTTGACACTGTTGCTTCGCTGACAATAGAGTTTTAACCAAAGCTGAATCGAACACCATAAGTACAGAACATCTAAAGTACATGGGCTGCATGCATGCATCTGGGTTAATTCAATGATGAAAACAAGAAAGTTGCCCCTTGCTGTTTCTTTGCCTTAATTCTTTGGGCTTTTTTGTCCTTGCTCATCATTCAAAAAATTTTTGGCATTTTGAATATGTGCTACTCTATTCGAGTACTGAATTGAACAAATACGCTATTCCATTTGTTACTCGAACTTTTTGAATACTTGCGCACCCCTAGTTTTGTGGACTACAGTGAGGGCTGTGGTGCTCCAACAGACAAATGCCACTTCAAACTGCTGATTTTTGTTGAGAAACTTCTCCGAAACAGTACTGAGAATATGAAGAAAGTTAACTATGTGGCCAGCTCACAAGCCCTAACAAAACTAAAAACAATGCATGTGCAGATCATCCTAGTACACTACTAGGATGTGACTTAATGGCTTTTTGATCTCATTTATACAAGAACATTAACGTATCAATCATATAGCTCATTTAGATTTTTTTTATTTTTTCAACTTGACATGAATGCTAATTAACTAGGTAAAATATGAAAACAACCGACCTTGCTTTGACATCAGTTTGTTTACAAACTGCTGCTTTATATAGTTCACAGGGTACTCGTCCAGCAGTGTATATATTACAAAGTACTTTTCCTAATGAATGTCACTTTGTCAATGCCTTGGACTTCAAAACTTGCACAGCATATTTTGCCATCTGCTCTTAAAATGCCAATAGCAGCTTTGAATTTTCATTTTTCCTGCAGTAAAAACGTCCAATACATTTGTGGCGCTACTAAACAGCACTTTTTCTGTTCCAAAATCTGCACCGATAGTTAAAAAGTCGCTTCTGTCACTGACGGTGGGATTGATCAAGATGTTCAAAAACATTTCACCTGCCACAATGCAGTTCCATCCTTGATTATCATAGATAGATAGTCTTAAAATGCTAATATATTTATACCACACTTTCTAACTAACAATTATGAGCATCACTTAGTACCTTAATCTAATTTATTCTATGAAAGCTTGTGATAGCTTGTTTACAGATATGTGATAGTGGTTTATCGGCAGGCATGCAGATGACGATTAGGTATGCCTAAAGCCTATTGTTTTGCTTAGTTGCTATACTAACCTCAATACATTCGGTTCATTGGGTCGCTCAATACGTTCAATAACCAGGGAGCCATTTGTTTATTAGGTCTCTAGTGAAGCCTGCACTACATGAACGTTGACTACCAAATATGGTTGGAACAGCGTAAGCTAACATAGGAGGGATTATAAATAAGGGATTTAAAATATGCTGAGGCAAAGACACTGTATGTGCTCTCTGTTAGCCCTGTTTGATTCATCATGATCAGCCTGACTACGTCCACTGCGGGACAAAGGCCTCTCCCATATTCCGCCAGTCAACTCGGTCCTGTGCTTGCTACTGCCACTTTATACCCGCCACCTTCTTAATCTCATCTGCCCATCTAACTTTCTGTCTCCCCCTAACCCGCTTGCCTTCTCTGGAAATCCTGTCGGTTGCCCTTAATGACCAGCGGTTATCCGGCCTATACGTATTATGTGCCTGGCCCATATCCATGTCTTCCTCTTGATTTCAACTATAATATCCTTAACCCCGGTTTGTTCCTTGACCCACTCTGCTGTTTTCTTGTCTATTAAAGTTACACCTACGGCCACGTCCCGGTGGTTTAGCAGCTGAGGTACTCAGCTGCTGACATGCAGGTCGCGGGATCGAATCCCAGCTGCGGTGGCTGCATTTTCGATGGAGGCAAAACGCTGTAGGCCCGTGTGCTCAGATTTGGGCGCTCGTTAAAGAACCCCAGGTGGTCAAAATTTCAAGAGCCCTCCACTACGGTGTCTTTCATAATGATATGGTGGTTTTAGGACGTTAAACCCCACATATTATCAAAGTTACACCTATCATTTTTTTTCCATCGTTTGCTGTGCTGAACCCTCCAGGTTTCTGCTCTTTAGGTAAGCACCGGCAAAATGCAGCTGTTATATACCTTTTTCTTGAACGTTAGTAACAGATTACTATTCATTGAAACTGCTGCTTGGGCGAGCTTATTCATGATTATTTAGACAGATTTATCAGTGCAAAAAAGGCGGAACTTTCAGAAAAGACACACACACACAGCACAGTGTAAGTATTTTTTCTAAAAGTACCGTCTTTTTAGCGCCGATAAATCAGTCGAAATTACCATTCATGATTCGAGAATGCTTGCCTAATGTGATCCACCCCATCCTTACTCATCTAGTTATTTCACTATCATAGTACGTCTCTGCGGTTACTACCTGTTCTAAGTAGGCATAATAGTTTACAACTTCCAGTGTCTCTCCCCGAAGTGTTGTTTTTTGCCAAGACTCTCATTACCTTAGTTTTGTGCATAATAATTTTCAGGCCTACTCTTCTACTTTTGCTGTCCAGTTCAGTAATCATGAGTTGTAATTCGTCCTTTTAGTTACTCATCAAGACTATGCCATCAGCGAATCGCAGGTTACTAAGATACTCTCCATTAACTGTTATCCTTAACTCTTCTCAATTTAGGGCCCTGAAAACTTCCTGTACACACGAGGTGAATAACATTAGAGAGATCGTGTCTCCCTGCCTTACTCCCTTCTTTACTGTAATTCTGTCGCTTTCTTTACGGAGAACTGTGGTGGCTGTGGAGCCACTGTAGATTTATTCCAGTATGTTCATGTAGGGTTCGTCGATGCCCTGATTCCGTAGTGCCTGCATTACTGGTGATGTATCGACTGAGTCAAACACCTTCTTGTAATCTATGAAGGCTATGTAAAGGGGTTGGTTGTATTCCGTGAATTTCTCTATTACTTAATCAATAGTATGAATATGATCTATTTGTGGAGTAGCGTGTATGAAATCCTCCTTCATCTTTGGTTGATTGAACTCTAATGCTGCCTTAATTCTATTCGCTATTATTTTTGTAAATAGTTTGTAGAGAGCAGAGAGTAAGCTGATCAGCCTGTAATTTTTCAAGTCCTTGACATCCCCTTTCTTATGAATTAATATGATGTTGGCATTCTTCTAAGACTTTTGCAGCTTTTTACTGCCTGCTCAATTCTATTCATGCTATACCTTCTGATGTCAGTCTCGTTACACCTATTGATTAACTTTTAAAGCTGCACTAGCTCAATTTTGTTGGTGGCATTTAAGGCATTCATGGTTTGTCATCTCTTAATGAGATTTTTTTTTATCTCTTAATGAGACTGGCAAATCTATCGTGTCCTGAGGTAGTTTGCCAGTGTCCTGTCTAGTGACTGTACCTCCAACTTCCATTGCACACTCTTTGATGATACTAGTAAGATTATTGTTCGTTGTGTCAACCCTAACATTGGTTACCTCGTGAGTTGTGAATCTATTCTGAAGTGAAACTGTAATTTGCTATACTTTCACTTTCACCACTAGCTCAATAATTAGCTTCTTGGGTATCAGTTTATGCCATTGCTTTTGTAAATGTAGGTGAATACAAGCTCTTACCATTTTATGCTCACTGCATTGGGTCTTGCCAACTATTTATAAACCCCTATACAGTGCCTGGGTGTGCAAGCAGAATAAAATCTATTTCTCTTTTTTGTTTCGCCATTAAGACTTCAACACGTCCACTTACGGTTAGTCTGCTTGCTGAAGAAGGTATTCAAGATCCGTAAATTATTACGTTCTGCAAGCTCCACTACTAATAAAAAACTGCCCTCTGGCACCTTTGGAGCCGATGCCATTGCCCCACTACATGGTTTCCGGCCTGTTTTTTGCCTACTTTGGCATTAAAGTCGCCCTTCATAAAAATATATATCGTGTCTTTACTTTATTAATCGCTGACTTTACGTCTTCACAAAAC